CTACCTACCATCAAAATTTCGTGGCCCTAGAACGTCTAGATCACGAGATATCGAAACCGGAAGTTAAGCTGCAGTACCATTAGAAGCCGCTAGGGGGCCCAAAATCTAATCCTTTTGAGGTCTTATCAAGACCTACCCACCTTCTAAATATGAAGTCAATCCATTCAAGTTTGAAGTTCATTTTAATTACACACACACACAATCATTGCATTGACATAAAGATCGGACAGTCATGGTCGTGTCACTAGTAACAAATACAGCCCCACCGTCTTACCGTTCCTGTTACTTATTAAGCACGACTGGCCAGGCCAAATTCCAGCAACAGTTGCGGCCAGCACCTCGAGTGTTACTACCGCCGGTCAGATACCCGGGCGAAAACACGTCAACGACATTATACATATGTTTCAAAAATAAGCATTTACTCAAATATCAAAACTGCTAGGATAAAAATAAAATGACGTGCATCACCACGGGCATAATGGCACACCACATGCCAAATTACACAGAAATGCTACGTACGGAACAATGCATTTTGGCTGCGAACATCTATGGTACCACCTATCAACCCCTCCCTGCGTCTGCATGAAGTTCCACCGCCCACCGCTATTCTAAACAACGGGTTTTTCTGGACCATTCAAATTTGCCTCATAATTGTAGGGGTGCATCTTAAATATTACATTGACCGCGAAAACAGCAACGGCATAAATACACATCCGTGCATCAACACGGGCATGCCCGCAGACGGCGTATAAAATTGCATGCCGATCACACGAAGAGAACCCCGTGTTCCAGCTGCGAACACGAAAAATAGCTTCTCACAATACTCCGTCCGGAGGTCCTGACCTCCTTTACGGAGTAAAAAAGCTAAACAGGGATGCTTGCCATTTATACAAATATATTGCAAGCATATATATATATACTGATGTAGATATTTGAAACAATCTGGATTATGTTTGCCAGAGGTTGGTTTGCTGAAATAGTCTATTCAATTAGAAAAGAAAAGGAAGAAATAAACACGAAATTTTCTAAAACTATAGACGATCACTGCCTGCCGTTTTTCGTTATTGTTCCGTGTGCCACTCACGGATTTGATAGGATGTTTGGAGTCATCTAGCTGCTAACGTTCTGACCGGAGAGAATTGGCAAAACGCTGTTAATGACACTATTTCATAAACTGAACATTGATTTTGCGTTATATCCTGTGCCTTCTTTTATAAATAACACCAGTAAACAGCAGCACATTTTTAACATCCAATTGGCAAAAAAATCGCATAAGAGAAAAAAAATTATGCTTCACGTGGTTAAACATTTCTTTTACCAGGGATATTTTGCTGGCCGAAATCTTGGATTATCCCAGGTATGGACGGAATATTTTTTCTACATGGATGACGACATGGTGATTACAGAAACAACAAAGAATGGACTTGCTTGTATCATTCCTGGATAAAACCAACTTTCATCTTGTAAGTAAAAATGACTGCATGGGTTTCTACATTTTGCTGCAATACGTTGCACAAAAATGTTTTTAAGATTGACCTTTCTCTGTAACATTCTCTGACGTGTTCCAAATGTAAAGTTAACAAATTGAATGTAGCCCATCTCCTCGGTATAAAGAAGAATCAGACTTAAACTGTTATAAACAGTACCAAATTTCATATTCCAGTGTAAACCTAAATACCCCGCTCATATTTGAGTTCTAGTTTTATTTAAATCCACAATTAGCCTAAAAAGAGGCTATTCTTCCTGTGGTCTACACATTCATATTTACATACATGTATTTCAAACGTACAAAAACATTACAAAGTGAACAGTCTGTAGTTAACAGTCCAGTACTTTGCTAGTTGCCGCCTTTGTTATTCCACAATGGTGACATTCTGTACAAAAGGGAGTTTGATTTTGATTTTGGTAGTCTGATTTTGTTTGTACTGGTTGAGCGTGTCGGTACTTGTGAATCTCAGATTGGAATGTGATTTTGGCGTACAAAGCCTGTGGTTGTTTGGTGATCATTATACGTTTATAAGTGACAAGAATTCTTCGTTGGATTTTGTTCCTGACAGTCAGCCATCCTAAGGTCTTCAGCATGGTGTCTACATGTGCATCACAATCACAACCAAGAGCTAGCTTTGCTGCCCTGTTCTGGACCACCTATAATTGTTCTGTGTTGTGTTTCCCCATACGGAGCAACAGTAGTCTATATGTGGTATTATTAAGGCGTTGACTACGGCTATTCTCTGTCGAAATAGTAGTAAGTTCTTAACCCTTCCCACCTGTGCCAAGCTTCTGTTGCACTTCTTAACTATATGAGCAGTGTGGTTGTCGTATGTGAGGTTTCCATCAAAGTGTAGTCCAAATAGCTTTACTATAGGACATTGTTCCAGACGTTGTCCCCTTAGCTCCAGCTTCAAAGGTGGCGCTTGCCTGGTTTCATGCATACCTGCAGCAACTACAGCAGATTTCAAACCAAGGCCCATGCTTTAACTTGAAAAAAAATTCCGGCCAAAATAAAATGCTACTTAACCACAAGAATACACAGCTATCATTTTCAATTTGTGGCAGTACAGTAAAATGTTTTGAAACCCTCATATAGAAACAGACGTTTTGCAAAGCCTCATGTAACTGCTTTTTAATATAAGGTGTTCTCAAAACACCCTGTAGTCCCCCAAACACTTTTACAGGGTCCACATGAAACTGCTTTGAAATTAAAAAAGTCAGGCCCTTTTCCCCCAATATGTAGACCGATTGATCTAAATAGCAGGGCAAAAAGGAAAGTGTATTGCAGGTGTTAAAGGTATGTTGTTAAATTTATTTATCAGCAGCCAATCAGCAATAAAGACGCGGCCTGCCTTTATGCCTATAGCATGCTGCTTGCTCTGCATTGCATTGTATTCGTTCTGAGTCACACCAAACAATACAGACATTTTAAAAAGTCCAAAAGTCACAAATCTTACATTTGTAATGGAGTGTATGCCAAATATGTTGCTTGATATATAAAGCATACCATACCAAATTTGAGATATTTTTGGGTGTAATTCTAGGTCTCCATGACCCCAAATCTACAGATTTTGTTGGAAAAAAGCAAAAACATAAAACAAACCTATAAGCCTGTATAAAAAAATTACCACTTTACCTCCATACCAAATATTAGGCCATTTGGCTCAAAAATGAAGAAACTGATTCCATTTAAAGACATGGCAGGAATTAGGAAGCTTTCAGCAGCTTCTGCAATGAACTGTGCAAGCGCTAACTTTCCTATTTGTATTTGCCACCTTAAGATTAGCTATTATAATGAAGTAGCCTAATTTTCCGCCAAATTCCCTACCCCTGAACTTCAGGGAAGAAGAAAGTCCCGTTTGGACAGGAGGCACCAGACAGAAAAGACAGTGCATAAGGCTCAGAAAGGACCCCAGTGAGAAGAAAAGAAACAGGCGTCTGTAAAAGAGAAAACAAGAAAGGCTTTTTTAAAAAGCTGGGCCGGCCTCAGAAAAATACTAAATAAAGGCATCGCCAAGTTGGGAGAGCTTTTAAAAGAACTGGCATTTTGGATAAGTAAAAAAGAAAATTAAAATAATGCTGACAGTGTCCCTAACATACCCGGTACTGAGAAGTCATTGCCCGATTTAGTATAGTCCAAAACCCGAAAATCCCCCATAAAGACCTCCCAGTCACGGCTCGCGTTATGTATGGCCCAATCCAACGACGCTTGTTTTTGAATCAGAAGATGTTCCTCTCTTAAACCACAGTAAAAACATTCACCAAAGCCACTGCCCATATGAGATAATGCGCCTTAAAGATGACTAGAATGCACAGAGATGAAAATTCTGCTTTCATTGGTTCCGGTAACCCCCTGTCACACCATCTTAACTTCAAGGTGTCCGCTTGAACTTTCGGTCTGTAAATCTAGAAAAGCTATGCTATGTGGTAATATGAACGTTTTATCCATATCTTTATCAGAGTCATCAGTGCAGCCATCGCAAGTTCAGTAATTTTCAGCCCTAAATTACCTGATTTCGGTTGCTCTCGGAGGGGGGTCCCAGATCTCCATAACGAAAAATATCTGGAGGGTTTTAAATATATGGCTGTTCATAGTTCCCCATACCTATCTCACATACAAAGTTTGAGCCGATTTGGCCGACCCCCATCTTCCGACCTCTGCCTGGTTTTGCCTGGTTTTCTCGTGCAATGACTCTTAAAGATGTTTACACCTTTGGTTACAGAGACTGACTCTTCCACATGTCGTAGTCTCTGGGGGAGACCAAGGATCATGGACTTTGTTTTGTCCGAATGTAATGACAATCTGTTTTCATTAAACCAGTTTGCCGCCTTTTTCATATCCTCAGATACCGTTTTCTCGCATTCACCTTGAGACGTGGCACTGTTAACCCTACCTATACCGGGCTTTTTTAGGCTTGAT